ACTCAAGAAACACAAGGTACAACTCTTTGACTTAAGTGACTAGTCAAAATCAAGTCCTTCGACTATTAAATTTTAGGATTTTTAGGAATAGATTAGCAAAGAGACTTGGATTAATTCCTTAATTAATCCTTGATTAGTGTTTAGATTTACGGGGTGTCACATCCTCTCCCCCTAACAAGAAGCTTCGTCCCCGAAGCTTGGGCACGACGAGTTCAATCAAACGAGTAACAACGAATTAAAATGTGATAAAAGGGAAGCAAAATGCCATAAAACAAGACTTCAAGGATCCAAAGGTGTAAGATTTTGCAAGAATCACGAGATGCAAGGTTTCAAAAATCAAGGAATGAAGGGTTTCAAGGTAACGGAAGGAAATTTCTCAAGCAACACCACCACTATCACAAACTTAAGGACAACCATTACCCATCTACACTAACCCTAAGCCAAGAACAAACTAAACTCGAACAACGCAAGGCAACTAAGCGAACTACTAAAGCGACAATTAACAACCAAGGCAAACAAGAGAGCACCACTACACAAAACAACTAAGCAAACAACTACCAACGTACTGACTAACAAAACAAGCAAGGGACGCAACGGGGTTCCACAACTAAACGGTCGGCTTGCGAAATCGGTGACGAAGCTTAAGAGATAAGTAGCAAACAAGGTTTTAAGCAACAAAGGTGTTCACCACTAACCAAAGTTAGAGAAACCAAGGGTTCAAATTAAGGTGGTAAGATTGATAGGCTTGGACACAACGAAGTTCAACACCAAAACCGTCGGTTAACAAAACGAGTGACTAGGCTTAGAAATAAGCTGAGGGTTCACAAAGGTAAGGCAAGAAAGAAAGATAAGGTGATAGACAGAAGATTTACCGGAAAGGGAAACTAATTCTACACCGAGCCTAACTCCCTGCTTAAAACTAGCCAACGATCAACCCAAATCTAACGTCTAAGCTTAGGAACAATCTACAACAGAAACTGATAACACAAGAACCCTAAGCTAGATCACTAGAGATCAAAGAACCAGGATTGCGTCTTCAACTGTTCTCCGCTGACTTCTTCAACCAAGGAAGCAAGGTACTCACACTACACAACTTGAGCTCGGCATCCACTTGAACTTGATCCGTCACTTCCAAACAAAGACTGCAACTGCCAGATCCAAAACACGAGCGTGATGTCCTTCTCCCTAGCTCTTGGGCTAACTTGATGCAGGCTGCCGACTTAACACTTGCATTAACACACAACCCCAAACCCTCAACAAAGCAACGCTTGAAAACTTCAAAGCTTTGGTTCGGATGAAAGGTCCAAAACAGGAACGGTAACAAAGGAGAAAGGTAACTCAGGGAGAAGAGGGCTCACAAGAAGATATTAGGTTCAAAGGAAAAGATCAGGGTGAAAGGTTTAGGTTCAACAACTCGAGGAACTTGTTGGTTAAGAAGAGGAGGATTGTAAATGAGGCTACAACTTAAGGAGTAAGGAATCAAAACGAGGTTTAAGGGAGTTGAAAAGAATTTCCTCACGGAGGGTATCCGATTTAAACTCAAGGATAGCGCTGATTAGGAAGGGAATCAAGATTTTCAAAGTCACAACATAGGAAAGATGAGGTTGTAACCTTGAACAGAGTCAATTCAAGAAGAGAACAAGAACGAGGTTTGAAAAGACAGGAAGGATTTCTCGAGAAGGGCAAGGGATTTGACGAGGGTAAGAGAGGAAGATCGGCTTCAAGAGGTGAAAGGGTTCTCGACTTCCGGCAGAACTTCGGCTTGACGCTGATCACTACACTTGTCGAACTGAAGGCTCTCTACCTCGACTCAGACGGGGCTTAACGCTTAGACTTTGCCAGATTCCTTCATAAGCTAAAGTCACCGCCGCTTTGCACAAGATGGTTTGGAAAGAAAACAAGAACAAGGTTCGGAAGAAAAGGATCACTTGACAAAAAGGTGATTAGGTTTGTCTAGGGGGAAGAAAAGATTAAAAAGGGTCAAGGTTGACTCTAGAACAAGCTGACGCTCGAAGCTAACGCGCAAGGAAGGGCACAAAGACAAAGGGAGGTGCAACAAAAGGGTACAAGAACTTACTTCAATGGTTCCCACTTGCATCTGCCTCACGACTGTGGATCTTGTGTAGCACCACCTAAAAACAAGCTATTTAAAAGCCTTAAACATGCAGATAACTGAACTAGACAACACACACAGCTGAAGACTGAAAGATAAATAGATAAACATAAGTCCAAAACACGGGGTGTTATGCCACGTTCTCTAAAAAGGATGAACGCTACGACAATATCTGCATTGTTTACAACTAATCCATAGTCTCAAGGTCTACAACTAAACCGGCACACAGGCCATAAAACAAGCGGGAGAAGCTACACTAGCAAGTACTAGACTGCGCACTCGCCTAGACATCACCTGAAAGAACACAATAAAACATGGGACGACGCCCGGTCAGCAAATAATGCTGGTAACCCACCAATACATGTGAAATAACATACATAAGTAAGATATAAGTTGTAAAGCCATTTTTGAAAGGGAATACATAAGTATATAAGTCAAAACCAAGAGCAATAGTCAACACAAGACTCAACACTCTCAACAAGGATACGGGAACACATCCCAAAACCACAAAGGATAACCACCACACAAAGGATAAAGACACGACCGATGGCAACACATGCCTAGGCAACACATGCCTTTGTGACTACACACGTCACAAGAAGAGAACACACAACCACGGCTACACAAGCCCTCGTGACATCACTAATCACGAGTTGATATGCCTTCCTTATGCCCGGTTCTAACCTTATGACTACCCCCAACCTTATATCTAGTTCCAACCTTTACCTCCATGACCCCTGTACACCAAGTCCAACATTTTCCCTCCGAGGACCGTCGTCCCCTCTCCAACAGAACCACCGATTTCATAGTACACGTGGGTACCGATCACACACACGGCAACAAATGCCACCCAAGAAATACGTGAACCTTACACAAAGGTCACAACTCCATAATCACGTCACGGCCACCACGAGGACCGCTACAATACCCTGGTGACTAGTGTCCCATACCTCTAATCGTGCAATCCAGGTAAAGCCACACACACATCACTCCTCAATAGGAATCAATCAACGGATCACAACAAAGATATGAAACCATATTCAATCAAGGAATGGATCACAGTCCAACAAAAATAATGACGAATAACACAAGTTATCATCAACCAATGGGAAGGAACAAACAACACACACGCTAGCATTTAAACACCGAACTAGCATGCTTATCAAACGGGTAAACCAAACATAGTTCCGAAGAACACACAAGACTCATCACGGTTCAGCGAAACACGATGTTGAACACTTAGCACGATTCAAGACACCAAAACCTACATGGAATCCTACCATATAATTCTAGACATTCGAAACATCAAGAAGACACTCAAATAGTTCCACAAAAGATCATTGGGAAGTCAAAAGATCAAATACCGAGTCAAAAGAATCACGGGGAACAATTCCCCCAACATCCAACAAAGTGTACCCGCGGGTGGGCCCACGGATAGGCCCCTACCCGTAGTCCTGCGCGCGGGTACAGGCTCCTTCACAACATGTACCCCGCGGGTGGGTGGCGGGTGGGCCTCCTACCCGTCGTTCCGCCCGCGGGTACAATCCTGTACCACAATACAACACTTCGCGGATTTTCATCTCCAAACTCAAATTCAAGTCCAAAACATGCCAAATCTCACCAAACACAACAAAATGACTTGAATTAAATGAAATGCCAAGAAATGGCACACAAGAACCCCAAACAGAAGCTCTAGATATGCATTTTCACAAGACAATGCATAAACACTCACATTTCAAAGCAAAACACATGTAGAATCCAAGAAATATTCATATAGGTAAACAAAATAGATTTTGTAGAGCATGGGTTACCTCATTCGCTTAACATCCAAAAACAATGCCAACATAGGCTAGGCTCAACTCATAAGCCAAACGGGAGCCTGAGAATCAAACCGGAACTCCATCTAGTTAACAAGAGTACTATACAAAACTAATTATGCTCATAAGGGGACTTAAACCCTAGATTTTTCTTTAATTACCCACAAACTCAACCAACTAAGCTAGGCATACTTTTGGAAACTTACCCACAACATTAAACTTTTGACGGATTAAAGCCACACACACATCACACCTCAACAGGAATCAATCAACGGACTACAACGAAGATATGAAACCATACTCAATCAAGGAATGAATCACAGTCCAACAACAACAACGAAGAATAACACAAGTTATCATCAACCAATAGGAAGGTACAAACAACACACACGCTAGCATTTAAACACCGAACTAGCATGCTTATAAAACGGGTAAACCAAACGTAGTTCCGAAGAACACACAAGATTCATCACGGTTCAACGAAACACAATGTTGAACACTTAGCCCGACTCAAGACACCAAAACCTACATGGAATCGTACCATAAAGTTCTAGACATACGAAACATCAAGAAGACACTCAAATAGTTCCACAAAAGAACATAGGGAAGTCAAAAGATCAAATTTCGAGTCAAAAGAATCACGGGGAACAATTCCCCCAACATCCAACATAGTGTACCGGCAGGTGGGCCCACGGGTAGGCCCCTACCCGTGGTCCTGCCCGCGGGTACAGGATCCTTCACAACATGTACCCCGCGGGTGGGAGGCGGTTGCGCCTCTTACCCGGCGTTCCGCCCGCGGGTACAATCCTGTACCACAATACAACACTTCGCGGATTTTCATCTCCAGACTCAAATTCAAGTCCAAAACATGCCAAATCTCACCAAACACAACAAAATGACTTGAATCAAAGTAAATGCGAAGCAATGGCACACAAGAACCCTAAACACAAGCTCTAGATATGCATTTTCACAAGACAATACATAAACACTCACATTTCATAGCAAAACACATGTAGAATCCAAGAAATATTCATATAGGTAAGCAAAATAGATTTTGTAGAGCATGGGTTACCTCATTCGCTTAACATCCAAAAAAAACGCCAACATAGGCTAGACTCAACTCATAAGCCAAACGGGAACCTGAGATCCAACTAATTAACAAGAGTACTATACAAAACTCAACTAATTATGCTCATAAAGGGACTTGAACCTTAGATTTTTTTTTTAATTACCCACAAACTCAACCAACTAAGCTAGGCATACTTTTGGAAACTTACCCACAACATTAAACACTAATAGATAGACTAAATAACCAAGGATTAAAGGATAAATCTAATAATTAACACTAAAGCAACATTGGAATTAAACCCTAGCCAAACACAACCACAACCCCCCTTCTAACCACTAAGCTAGGTTACAACTTATTAACCTAATTAAACAAAAACTAACTAATACTAAACTAAACATCAAAGACAAAGAAAGAGGCTCACCATCTTTTTTCTCTTCTTCATGTCATGCTACTGCTCCCGCGTGTGGAACACGGTGAGAGCCACCACCCGCCAACCTTCTGCTCGCCGGAGGGCCAACCAACGCCACCACTGCCGACACTTGCCAGAGATGCTACGCACCACCACCGCCCTGCATCATGGCCATTGTTGTTGTCCGAAGCTCCGCCGCCGTCTCCGTAGGAGGAAACCTCGATCCCCCAACTGCCATAGATGTCGGTATGCTCCGCCAAAGATCGCAACTTGCCGACGCTTGTTCTTGTCCACTTCACTCTGTTCTACCGAAAACTGCCGCCTTTGCCACCAAGCCCCGCCCAGCTCACTGCTTCATGGGACTACCGAGGGAGGAGAGCCACTGTCACAACTCGCTGCTGTCTTGCCGTCGGAGAAGGCTGCTTGGCCGAGAAGAACGTGAGAGAGAGGGAGTTGGTATCGGCTGAGGATTCTACTATCTTAAGAAGGGATGTCAAAAAGATGAACATTTTGGTCTACACTTATGTGCATGACACAATTGGTACGTTTATTTAATGGATTGGGTTAGGAAGTTGGGTTGGTTACATCTCTTGGGTCAAGAACCATACATACATATATAATTTGGGCTCACAAAATAATAATAACACATATATGTATATATATACATTATAAGGGATTGGTGTAGATGATGGGTCCAAAATTACTCACTCATAGGTTACACATATATTTGGGCTCAAAAACAATTACTAGGCTTTTAGGAATTAAAAACCATTTTGGGTTTAGGCATATTTTGTACAAAAATATTGGTTCACCATAATAGGTAGACCCGAGCCCATTTTAAAATAAATAGCTATACAAATATTTTTATTAAAATATTTATTATCGGGACTATAATTTATTTTTAGGAAAATACAGGGTGTCACATCTTGCCTTGTCGAGGTCCCGACTTCGTACACAGGTCCTGGATGCTACTTCCACTTAGTCCAATGTTGTTTCCACTTCGAGGCTTACTTCCCGACCGCGGTCCCACACTACCAACTGGTTTTGAGTCAGCTGAAGTATTCCTCTTAGTCTTGCACTCAAAGGACCGATGACCCTTCTTTCCACAAGCAAAGCACACTATCGGTTTCCCTAGACTGTCCGCGCCGGGGTGGTCACTTCCACACTTCTTGCAAACGGAGCGCCTTCCCTTAGTCTTGTTGTTCCGGATTGGTTGGTGAGTCTTACCTCTCTTAGAGTCGTCTCTTTGAAGGCTTCTTGTTGATTCAGCACCAGTAGCCATCAAACTCTTAACCACAGATGAAACACTACCATCAAGCTTCATCATACGGTTCTCCCGGATTCCTTCCTGGACTTGCTGTACCTGGTAGAGGTCAGCTGCACAAAGGTAGGCCTCCTTGACAAGAGCAGGATAGAACCGCTTACGTACCTTAACCTTCAGGTTTTCCCAACTGAACTACGGATCTTGTCTACAAATTTCCCTTCAAGCATCCACCACAAGTCTGTTTCATGCCTAAGATAGAACGTAGCTAACTCTACCTGGCGATCCTCTGGGCAAACCACTACCTCGAAGATCTTATCGAACATCCGGATCCACTCATCTAGCACTGCGGGATCTTCTTCACCAACGAAGATCGGGGGACGGAGACTTGAGACTTGGCATACTACGTCGCGATTCCCATTCTGAGGATGGTGATTGTTGTTGAGGTGGGTGTTGCTCAGTGTCTGGGTGACCTGCGTCAATTGATGGAGGCTTTGAGCTAACTACTTGTTGTTAGCCGCTTCTGAAGACCTTACATGACGTCTCGATGGTGCCATCCTTGACTTCTACAAAAACAGCACGATAACGGAAGGAAACTTAAGGCCCACACCGTTACCTGGTGCCTTAACTAAAGAGAACCAAAGCTAAAAGGAAAACAGAGCACAGAAAGCACAACAGGAAACGATAAAAGAACTCACAACCTCACCGCGCGCTCTAAGGATCCTATACTTAGGTACTTAAACACTTAAAGGTTTCACCTAGCAACTTAAAGTCTCAACTTACAAGCCCTAACCTAAGCTCATCTTAGGTTCTTAAAGTCCAACTCTTAACATCCTAGGCTCAAACCTAGTCTCTGATACCAACTGTAACACCCCCGATTTTTACCACATTTCATTGTTGGAAATTATTGAATTTCCATCCACCTGAAAGTGATCTTAAATCAAGTTGAAAGATAAAAGTGGTCGGAAATAGCAACAAAGGTTTTTCCGGATACCAAAAGTGGTCGGAACAAGGCTTTCAACTTGATTTAAGATCACTTTCAGGTGGTCGGAAATTCCATAATTTTTAGTAGTGTTTTTAAAACTTAATTGCATAGGAAAACATATAATGATCAAGACGTAAAGCAAACGAAAGCTATATAAAATCGGGACATGTTATGCCACACCTGTAACACCCCGAAATTTTTAAAAAACTTTTAAGACTATGTAACCAAGGTAAATGGTCATAAATCCCAAAATGCTTGCAAGAATACGGAGTGTTATGCCACACCCGAGCTAGAGAACTCAGGTGCACGGGCTAAATTCTAAAACCTCAATCAGTATCAATACAAAATCATAGCACGCAGGCCGAAAGGGAAAACTATCTAATCTACGCCCCAAGCTTCTAGCGCGCTCCAGTGATCTACTCGTCCGTGCTTGAAAGCCAAATATATCTGTTCAGCGAGAGATGCTGGTAACCCACTCCAACGCGTTGAAATACAATACATATAGATATATACATAGTTATACGAAAAACCATTTCGAAGCATGAAGATATATCCTAAGAGACTCTAGCTTTCAAAACAGGGAATAGACTCAACAGATAGGGCTTAGCACAGACAACGGTCATAATCAAGCATATACACTTCATAAGCATAGGGAAACAGGCAAGGCAGATAAAGATAAGCATAGTTAATATCCATAACCCAACATATACGATTCCCGGCATAAATCCCAAAGTCACCTCCCGAGACACTCACAACAACAACTCATCCATATCTCATCACATAGCACACTTTGTTGGCGCCACAAGACCAATCGCATGCCCATACATGAGGGTCAGCGCATATAGCTCTGACACGGCCCCGCAACACCCTGCCCCGTATCGCAACACGGAGGGGTCAATCGCAACCGACCGATGAACCGCAGCTCATCATAGTTTGATCGCAACCAAACAGTGGACCGCAACCCAAGAGTGTGTCATCTGACCGCAACCAGGAAATATGAACCGCAAATCATGTAGAAACGTTTGATCGCAACCAAACGGTGGACCGCGGCCCTATATAATATTTATATACCTGACCGATCGCAACCGGCCTGGTTAACAGTCAGTATGGTTCTCAACCCTTCCAACTGCCCGTATAGGCAATTTGATCGCAACCAAATTGGGGTATCATGCACACATAACACATAGCAAGCACATGCAACCCACATTAACACATTGGGAAGGGGGAGAAAACGTATAACAAAACCTATGCGTGATCCTTCACATACTAAGAATAATCCTAAGGGGTTCATACTTCCTTCACCTAGGTCAACGGGATACCAATTCAACTAGCATGCAATATATAAGACTCATACAACCTACAAACGGTATCGGAAATATCAAACTAGACATAGGCACGATAGACGGAGTCCGTTGGGACACCACGGGGGTCGGGGGAACATCAAATGGGGAAGCCGGAAACCCGAGGTAGGGTATTTTCCAGCGGGTAGCCGGTGGGTGAGAGTTTACCCGCCGGTGGCGTGACTCCGGGCAGCGGGTGCCCGGCGGGCAGCTGCCCGCCCGCCGGCTGCCCGCCGCCGGTGTTGCCCAAATAGGCCGCGGGTAGGTGGTGGGTCCCCTACCCCCACCTACCCCCCACTGACTCTTTTTCACCAAAAATGCCCCGGGAACCTTTGTGGAACCCGAAACCATGCTTAGACACTTTCAAACGCAATTGGTAACACACGTAGACAGTTAACGGATCAAAATCAGCAAACATACGGCACATAACCTATCATGCTTTTCTAAACATAATCAACACCCAAACATACAAATTCCCTCCCAATCTACCAAGAATAATACCATACGAATTCCACGATATAACCTAGGGTTCTAATTACTTTTAAATCAACAAGAACACAATTCATCTTCTAATATCACGATTCGGTAGGAATATCATATAAACATCAAGAACATCATATAATCATCAAGAACATCAAGAACACCATATAATCATCAAGAACCTCTTATCATCAAGATTACCCAGGGAATCACAACACCAATTATCAAGATCATTATAACGAATCATCAACACACAAGAATATGGGGGAAATCCTAAGAGGGGAATCATAGCTATGAAAATAGGTTTTGTTGAGACATGGGTTACCTTTTAGCCTTAATTAATTCCTTGGCTATGAAGGGTCTTTCTTGAAGCTTTCTTCTTTCTTGATTTCTCCTAGGGGAATTCTTGGAACTTCTTGTGTGGTGAGGGATTATTGTGGTGGGGGTTCTAGGTGCCTCTTAAGTCCCCTATTTATATATCTAGGAGTCCTAATTAGGAACTAATATTATAGGCTTGCTAATTCTATTCCTTTTAGGGCTAGGGGTTGGGTTTTAGGGGTGAGGGCCCACGGACCATGGTGGGCCTTTTCCCTAATTAATTATTGTAATTTAATTCTTTCTTTGGATAGTTGGTTAAATAATTAATTGGTTTTAGGGGTCGTAACACGGGGTGTTACAACACCTATCTCAGACATAGGTGCATAGGCGGGAAAAACTATCAATTCAACAAAACATAAAGCGTCTAGGCGCACAGACCGCTATACTAGGCTCACAGGCCAACTAAAGATAACGTCTACACAGGACAGCTAATCTATCTAGCGATCCACGTCTAGCGCTCTCAGACATCTACTCAAAACCTGTAGAACAAGGGAATAAACATGGGGATAACACCCGGTCCGCGAATATTGCTGGTAACCCATCAATACGCGTTAAATAACATATATAGATACGTATAATCAAAACCATTTTGAAACGGAATACAATATATATCATTTCAAAACCAAGGAGAGAAGTCAACTTCAAAGACTGATCAAACACTCTCAAATGAAATAGGAATCACCATGCTTACAACAACGACACGACAACAAACATGA